CAAATCTATAGGCTGCTGCTGCCCCCAAATCTAAAGGCTGCTAAATCTAAAGGCTGCTGCTGCCCCCAAATCTAAAGGCTGCTGCTGCCCCTAAATCTATGGGCTGCTGCCCCCAAATCTATCTGCTGCTGCCCCCCTCTCAAACCTTCCCCCCCATCCCTCACTTACCTGATCTGTAGGCTGTCTCTGGCTGCATGTGTTGTTCCCCTGCGGTTTCAATCAGCAGAGAGAAGCAGGGATAAGATGCAGCTTCTATCCCTGTCTCTCCATACACAGCGCCGGCACTGGTATTGCATTTCATTTTAAATCTCACACGAAAAGTATCAGAACAAGCTGAAAAATCCAGGGGGGGCAAGTGCCCCCCCTTGCCCCCCTCTGTGGACGCCCATGACTATTAAAGCTTAGATGATAAGTATTGTTCTAGGATAGAACATTACCTTAAAAAAAGAGAAATGAGTAGTTTTAAATAGAAAAAATACTAAATGAACAAAAGTGGTAAGTGAAGTGCCTCAGGGTTCTGTCGTGGGTCCAGTTCTTTTTAATCAGTTCATAAATAATCTTGAAGTGGGCATTGAAAGTCAGCTATACTCCCCTGAGTATAATCACTAAGCTCTTATAAGAGCTTGTTCCTGATACACTCTCTGGACTAAGAGAGTTCTACCCACTGGAAGCTGGATCCTGATCATAGGTCCAGGGTGGGAAGAAGACAGTAAGATCCCAACCAAGCTGCGGCAGTTTGTGGGATTTGCAGTAGTTATGGTTTTCCAGCGCAGTGCTTATGGTACTCATCAGTACTAGGAAGCAGCGATCGACGGAGGTACCTGGTCAGGGTGCAGGCGGACCATCACATATACAATCAACAATAGGTCATTCAGACTAGCAGAAATGTATTTTTTTTTTAAATGGAAAAACAGAATATTAAAGGATATAATTAATGCTATTAATATGGGGCATGTGACAGACTGAACGAGGATGTGCTGAGCACAGTAATTGCATTGCCATAGATATCAGATAAGACAATAAAATTGTGTGATTGACCCACAAGCAAACCACAGAACATTAGAGCCAATCTATGTTGGTTGATGTACTGGTGATACATCCAACTCTTGTTAGAACCACACCAAAAGGGGCTCCATACTCCCACCAAAATAGACACTACCTGAGGTGCCACTGGAGCAGCAGCACTCTAAACTGATAGATAGACAAAAGTAAAGGTGGTACTTCAGTAGAAGTTTGTTTGATACTCCTATTTCGTGTTATTGTTGCACATTTATGTATATATAATCTTTGTCACTTTATGTGGTGAAGTGACCCCATATGTTAGCATTTTGTTAAAGTACATTGTTTTACCAGATACAGGCTATTTCTCTTCCTGATAGTCGGTAAGATTGATGTGATTATGTCACTTCCATTTTTTTTCAAAAGGGGAAACATAGCGATGGTGTTTCTGTAAGTACATTTTTTTTTTAATATAAATACTTAAAGTATGTGGAATATAGGCTTGAGAAAAGCTCTATTCTAGAGCCAAAACATTGTCTGTTGATGATCCAATAAAAACTGCTATTGGACAACATCTGTGTACCCAGACCTTTGCATCCATCTGTTCATCAAACTGTTTGGAACAGCTTGTCAATGTAATCTGATGACAAGGCAGCCACAGAAACTGAAACATCCAGCAGTATCCTTGTGTATGCCACAAAAAGCCTGTATCAGGAGTACAGTGCTCTGTAGGAACGTGCTTTGAATTGGCTTTGAATAGTGCTACAATTATTAAATGCCTGGAGCAGTTTCAGTGGGGCTAAAGCTGGACTGCCTCTCCAGTGAGTAGTCTAGCAATCGAAGGGTCTCACTACTTTTGGCAGACTCACATTTATTTCGGCATTTAAATGGCAGACATACACATCTGCCATTACTAAGTGTATAAGTGAGAGGTCATATTCATTCAGTGTCATGCAAGGATTAATGCAAAGAACAAAAGGCGTATGTTCTGAAGGTCAGTAAAAACAACTGTATGCTATAAAAACTCAGATCAAATCCAGGCTACAGTGACTATTGACAGCCAAAAAACAGACCAATCTCAAGTGGTATACTTTGTACTCTGACCCACCTTGGCACCCTGCTGAGTTGATACCAGAAGTTGATTAACTATTTTAAAGAAGGCTCAGATGTCAGACTAGACAAGTCATGCACTGACGAGCATAGCAGCTGTGACATATGTTCTCTATGGCCTCTTACACAGCCATACACAGCCATTGTATATACAGCACATGATTTCAGACAACATATCTACCTCACAAAGGTTCATTTGGTCAATGTTACAAAGCCTGAGAACCACACTACACATAGATTGTTATCCCAGTAATCAAGAGCTTCATGAGGTCCAAGAATTGAGTGTGCACAAAAAAAAAATCAAATGATCTGCAGCACACATACAAGTTGTTGATAAATTATAGTCCCTGAAAGAGGCTCAGACCAAACTTCTGTCTAAAGTGGTCAATATGGAAGATATATCAAAAAGCAAAAATGTAAGAATAATAATCTGAAGGTCTTATTTTCTGTCATCCTCCCTACAGTTCATGACTAGAGCTGATTATTTGACAGGACTCATCACCCTAGCCAAGCTATGCAGCTGACCTAGCTCAACTACCAGAGATGTCATAGTGTAGCGCCACTACTTTCATGTAAAGTAGGCCTTAAGGGCAGCAGTGAGAAAGTTTAGTTCTCGCCCTGAGTCGTACTCTAGAATCTTACTCTTCGCTGACTTCTCATATGCCATTTACCTAAGTGTAAGGGGTTATTATTATTTTATTATTTATATAGTGCCATCACATTCCGTAGCGCTGTACAATGGGTGGACTATAAATTCTATTTATGATGATAATGTTGTGTGTATCACTTGGTTGTCCCTTAAAGTTGTCATATAGGGTAATCTAACTGAATCGAAGCCAGGAGAATACAATTAGCACTTTCTGCTCAGCATTAAGACAATTTTACAGAGAGATCTCAATTGAGCTATTTGTACTACTTTTAAAACAGACTTGCGTGCTCTCAAACGGCACCTCACCAAGCATAATATGAGGAACCTTAGCTATCTGTATTATTCTCAAAGTAATAAAGCAGTTCAACACACACTAAAGTCCAGATATCTCTAGACTAAAATTCCTTTTTTTTCCCATTTCCTCTCCTTGTGAAAGATGAACTAACCCTACACAAATAGCCAGGTAATTAGCCTTGTACTGAAGGAAACTATGCTATCTAAAAGAGAGGTTCCTAAACAACACAACCCTCCACAATCACAAATTGATGCCCTTCTTTCAGACATACACTTTGCTCACTTAGACTTTCATCAAGGAGATTTAATATACCCTTTTACTCAAAGCTACAAATTCTTCCTAAAACAAAAATCCCCTGCCCCTCTTAGGTTTTCCAACCATTACTACTACACTTTCTATAACAGGGAACACAACTGCTATAAGCCAGAATTTCCATCTATTTTAAACTATTACTTTAAAGTACTGGCCTCAAGATAAAACCCATCCTGATCATCTTAGTTTCCAAAAAAACAAACAAAAAAAAACATTGATGGTTTACAAATGTCACAAATCAACAGAATTAAAGTATTTGCAAATTATATTTTCTTGCTCCAATTATTGACTGACTATGGAAAATTACATTTTACTAAAATAATGGGAATACATTACTATCAATAGGTATCCTCCATAAGTAACAAGACAATCTGAAAACAATCATTCCCTTTTGACTGACATGAATCTCCTATTTAGGAAAGAGTTTATCTCTTATTAAGGAGAGCATTGCACAATATCCAACCACTTACTCTAGAAAGAAAATCATCTAAGCTCTTAAACAAAACTAAACATACTCCGGAATATTGGGAGTATTTGGAGGTGTCACGGTTGGGCCAAATAAATTAAATTAAAATATATATTTTACTGGCTATCTTATACAGTATACATTTACAACACTCCTCAATAACCTTATCCTTATAATCTCAGTTCCAGACAGTCTTTGGTGCATACATTTAGAAAAGAAAGCCTCCAAGAATTATTGCTATTTTGGGGTCAAGAAGGAATTTTTTCCTAGTTTGTTGCAAAATTGGAAGCGCTTCAGACTGGGTTTTTTGCCTTCTTTTGGATCAACAGCAAAAACATATGTGAGGAAGGGTGAACTTGATGGACACAGGTCTCTTTTCCGCTATTTAACTATGTAAGAATAACTTATAAAGCATACCCACAAGACTCAAAGGACAGGTGTCCCAAAAAAAAAAAATATATCACATTGACAAAACTCTGGCTCATTTTTTATTTGTTCCATTTAAGTTGCTCTGGTATGGAGAGATCTGGAAGAAGAATATTTATCAAATTATTCTGTATTAACATGGATACCCCATCCATTACAACTCCAACTTCACAATATAGGGGTACACAAATTGATAAGTGACTGAATAGACATTTGAGGGTCTGGGAGTCTCCGTAATGGCTGGGACTCCCAGATACTACTGGACACTCTGTACCCAACTTATTGTCTTCAAACTACAGCTACCACGCACAGTTTAGACAATAGTCCCCTCACGTATGTGGGTTATTTTATGCAAGTCTCAGACAAGTGTTGATTTTATTCGATTTGATTTATTTATTAATTTTTTTTTACACACTAGTGTTTTTGGGTGTTGACTCTCACCAGATTTAACGTATTAGCAATTTATCATTAAAAGTTTAGTTTTAATATTCATGCATTAAGGTTGCACGTTAGGTTCTCTACTGTACCCTTACTGTTTGCTGCAACTAGCAGGGTATTCCACTCCATAGGGTACTCTACCAATATCCTTTCTCTCCTGTTCCTCTCACACTTTTGTGCATTTAGTGAATTAATTTCACTAGGGGTTAGCCCCCACTTAGGAGATAAGCTACTGCATACCTTTTATCTTTATATCTCTCTTCTTACCTTTGTCTTCAAGCTCCTTGAAGAGTTTGTCTATATTTCACCTACTGACTGAATACTTACAGATACTTCAATTTTGCTTCCACACTCAGCATTCCACATACTGCCCTGGCCATAGTGACTAATGTCCTAGTTACAGAAGATTCCAAATGCCATTGTTTGCTTATTCTTTTGGTTCTTTCTGCTAATATTGCTAATCGTTCTGCTGTAGTCCTTCAAATAATCCTTAAGAACACACTTCTTTAGAGAAGTCTATCAGCTCTCCCTTCCTCATCCCTTGAAACTTTCCTATGCTCTCTCCCATCTTATGTGTTTACTCCTCCCAAACACCAATCTCATCTTTTCAGGTATTTCCAGATGATTTGTTTCCCTTACTTCCCTTTATCTGTCCTTTATTCCTTTTAGATTGCAAGTCTGTTTTGGTTGGGCCCTCATCACCTACTGTTCCCATATGTCAAACATGGTTTGCTAGAATGAATTACTTGTCTGGTTTTACCTATTGTACAGAGCTGCTGAGCATGTTGTATCCAGCTATGTTTGCTTTGATATCCCAGAAAGCATTACTAGCCCCTTATTCATGTGTAGACAGAAGGGGACATAACCTTGCTGTTAGAGTAGGGGGTCATAACGTTTTTGTTAGGGATCAAACCACAGGTGTTTAAAACCCCTTAAGGACACATGACATGTGTGACATGTCATGATTCCCTTTTATTCCAGAAGTTTGGTCCTTAAGGGGTTAAGCTAGCAACACCCATGTTGACTACCCTTCCCTATTATTAGCTACTTATCCAAACTCTCTCTACTCACATCAGGCCTTAATTTATTGATCTAGCAGCCTAGGTGATCAGTAAGAATTCACCTGCTTTTGCAAGATGGAAAACTGATACCCTTCTATACCCTAATTGAATTTTTCCACCTGCGCTCACCTTAGTCATCTACAATTGCAGTACAAATAATGAGAATAATTACCTTAATAATGCAGTAATGTTATTGCTAAAAAGTTAAATAAAAATGCATGTCTTGAAAAAAGAAAAGGAACAGAATAATTTTGTTTTGAAGAAAGGCTAGACTGTATTTGTTTTGACTAGAAAAATACATCTTAGACAACATATGAGAATATTATATAAATATATATGGTCAGTACAAGCTACTGTCTGGGAAACAATTATTTACTGTACATTGTATGTGTGTAGGACAAAATGTCACTCTTTGAGATGTCATATAGAGCAGAAGAAAGGTTAAGGATAAGCACCATAACCACTGTCACTGTTGTCCAAATTATGGATGAAACTGATATTGCTAATGCAGAAATGGAACATATTGTAAATGGGGACTGGTTCGTGAGTGCTGTGGGATCCTCTGATTTTGGTCAAGCTGCTCAAAATTGGTTTGATCCAGAAATGGGTGATGGCAATCACAGTCTGCTTATACCTCAACCACTACAACAGTGTATACTGGGCATGGTGCTTATGCTGGCTATTTAAATTAACACATGGCTTTGATAGGTTTGTATAGTATTTTGCTCTTATGTATGAGGAGCAAATCGGGATATATGGAGTTACAAAAATAAAATCAGAATGCAGATGGCATATTGCAGCAAAGAAGGAATTATTAAATTAATTTAAATAAAATAACTTCAGTATGAGGTCACATTTGTGTCTACCACAGTGTAAATGATGTGTGCACATGATGAATTATAGAACTTCAGTTGAAACTTGTTTATCCAAGAAGAAATCTTACTGTCATGATGGAGTAAAGAGTAAATTCTTATTTTTAAAACTCATTATTGTTACATAAAATATTACAGTAGAAGACAAGCAATCTGGTCATACATATTTTCTTCTTTTTCAAATCTACCTGTCCAGATTTAGAATTGAAATAATATGTTATTTATTTTTTTATTTGGACGATTCCTCCAAGGTTTGGAACCTGACTTGGAGAAATCTAGCAATTTTTGTACATATGCTGCAAGATAAATATTCCAAGAAACTACCCCATAACATAAAATGGTAGTAGTGTAATAGTAAAGGACCACTATAGTCACCAGAATGTATTCTGGTGTGTATAGTATGTCCCTGCAGGCTTTTCGGAGAAAAGGCAGTGTTTACATTACTGTCTAGGAACATCTCTAGTGGCAATCACTAAGATAGCGGCCACTAGTGGTGATTCCAGGGTCAGTACTACACAATGTGCAGCGCTGTCATTCAGCATCTCCATGCTCGCTATGGAGGCACTGAACACCCCCTATAGAGATGCATTGAATCAATGCATCTCTATGAGGAGATGCTGATTAGTGCAGTTTGGCGTTTTGCTGCACATGCACAGTAGTCTTCCAATGCTTTTCTAGCATCACCACCAACGAGGTGGAGCATGGGCACAGCCAGCTACGAGAAGAATCGCGCGGTGCTCGAAACAGGTAAGTAAAATACCTTTTCACGGGTGGGAGGGGGGCCAGACACCTAAACAGTGTTTTCACACCTAAAGTGTCAGGAATACACGTTTGTATTCCTGAAACTACAGTCTTCCTTTAAATGCACATCATTGGCTAATGATTAAACCAAGGCAGTATCTGCCTCAAATGGAAAATTATCTAGTTACCAAGATTTTAGTCTCCTGCCTCATGAGATGGTGCATGAGATGGTGCTCTACATAATAATACATTCTAAGATTTAGTAAAATCTGTTGTTTTCAAAGGTAACAGATCAAGTGGAATGTTGGCCCAAAATGCAGGAGGCACTGGGGTAAATCTAATGACACACCTTGAAATATTTTAATTGCATTGCATGCATAGTATATGAAAAACAACTGTACTCACAAATTTAAGGATATTAAACAGTTCATTGTAAATAGTTTTTCCAGCCATTGATTAACTATAACAATGACACAAATTAAAACATTCAGACTATTTTCACGATCATACAAACATTTGCTATTACCAATTACAAAATTATAAGAACATTAATTGTTAATACATCATTCATGAAACATGGTATTTACAAGGTTGTATAAAAATGTAGATGTGTGTAAAAAAAAAAAAAAAAGTATTCTACAGATAGATTACACACAAACATCACTTGACATTTTACAATAAAATATGTCTTTGCTGTAAGATTAATTAGTGCAGCATGTTTGTTCTTATGCAGCTTCTTCAGCAGAACAGTCAATGCCCGCGTAGGTGAATTTTTCATAAAGGGTTGTATTGACGTAGGTCTGCAGGAAAAAATATAATGGGGAAAAAATAGGTTGTTTTTTTTACAAGTAAATATCATGAAGTGTAAATACTGCACCTAAGTGCCTCGTAGAGAGAAAACATGGTTATTACTTTAAAGAATGTGTTAATTTCAACGAATATGCAATATTTTGGCTTCCTCACACATTAACTGTAATATAATGAACTGTACCACATATACACTTGTGATGCTATATGTGACTAGCATACCAAAAATCTAAAACTACAGAGACAATATTTTTTCAGTAGTTTAAGCATCCGATGGGAAAAATATATGTTTAGTTCTCCAGTCTGATTTGTAACCTAATGAAAACTATATATTTTTTTCTTGCAAATTTACTATAGATATGATAGCCATATTTGACTTGGACATAAATATCTTTACTTAGCTGTTGCCCTATAAATTTACTGAATAACCCTGTATAGTTATGAGGATTCCGTTTTTCTTCTCTTTAAAATATTTTTTTCTTTTTGTACCTTAAAGGACCACTATAGTATAACCCATATAAAAAAATGGGTTAACCCTAGAAGGACCTGGCACCCAGACCACTTCATTAAGCTGAAGTGGTCTGGGTGCCTAGAGTGGTCCTTTAACAAAGTACCAGCAAACCTACTTATGACTTGCTTGTAATTTTGCTCATCTATTGGTAGTAGAGGTGATGCACCCATAAGGGTAACAATAACAAGTTAACCTACTTCATAACTTAGAGATGGCTCTTCACATGCAGTGAAATTCGTAGGTAAAAACATTTGAGAGAAACTTCACTAGAATAAACTTCACTTTGTTTTGAGTATGATCTTCATGAATTGTATTAAGTCTTAATACAAAAATAAAATAGTAACTAATTCTTAAGGCCCTATGAAAAAAGCTTATTAAGAATACTCATTCCCCCATACAAATACTCACCTTTCTTTCTTCTAACATACGGTTAAGAGACACCAGAATTTTCCCAAAAGAAGGTCTTTCATTTGTTTTCTCCCGCCAACACTGACACATAAGGTCATACCTTAAATCAAAGAAATAGTCATATAATGATACGTTTGTCTGAGACAAGGGATATTATAACTAGGTGAAGAGATAGGTTCTATATTGCAAACTATTTGATTCAATATGGTCTGATGCTTCTTCCTTGTTGGCAAGTATTCATTGTGCTGGACTCTCTTAAATACCAGTTGTGTCAAAGTACATACATTTATCCACAATGTCAATATATTATTTGGATATAAACTTCAATTATAAAAATAAAATAAGTACATACATTTATGAAGTCTAGTATGCACGGCGTGACTAGATAAGCCAAAATAACAGTGTAAGAAACACTATCCATATTCTAAGCTATTAAATGTTTGTTTATTGTCATTGTGTGCTTCATAAACTAGGACTCAATATTTCCACTTGCCCACTAGCTATTGGTGAGTGAAAATTCAGCCCTTGTAAAGATTTGACATTTTAATTTTACACTGCAGTCTTACGCTGCATTCTTGAGTCATTTGTATTGTACAGATGCGGACCTTTCTCATTAATTGGTAGAACATGCAGAAATTCTAAAACTAGAAAAAACATGGAACTCTCAATCCAATCAAAAAATAGTCCTGGAATTAGGCATTTCATAGATAAAATCAGGATTGATGCATATTGATTTAATAATCTGTGCTCTAGAAGCTAGTTAGAATGTTTGCTTTAGAAGTTAAGCAGAGCATGTGATGATCTAGTCACTACTTGATATTATTATTTTATTATTATTTTTTTATTTATAGAAACATAGAAAAACATAGAATGTGACGGCAGATAAGAACAATTCGGCCCATCTAGTCTGCCCAATTTTTTTAAAATACTTTCATTAGTCCCTGGCCTTATCTTATAGTTAGGATAGCCTTATGCATATCCCACGCATGCTTAAACTCCTTTACTGTGTTAACCTCTACCACTTCAGCTGGAAGGCTATTCCATGCATCCACTACCCTCTCAGTAAAGTAATACTTCCGGATATTATTTTTAAACCTTTATTTTATATAGCGCCATCAGATTCCGTAGCGCTGTACAATGGGATATGTGACATGCTTAAAGGAATGGGGGTTGCCATTATGGATTATCACCCAGGTTTTAATCTATTATAATCTATTATGATAGCTTGCATATCTGACTGAAACACCCTTTTTAATTTCTCTCTACGTTAACTACCTCTCTAGTTGTTACTACCACTACTATGCAGAACATTTGTTATAACTAAATGTTGGATTAATGTAATGTAGTCTAACAAGAGTCAGATATATTATCTAAGTTTTATGAAATAGCTGTTTTTTTCTGCTTGTGGCTTTTGGGCCTGGGTATTATTTCAAGGGGCGGATGTTAGCTAAATCATTTTCTTACACCTCATCGTCGCAGTTAAGCGGCTTTTCAAGTCTGTAACCTTGTGGTAACTTCTCATAGAGTTCTGCACAGGTCATTCCACAATATGGAGTCCCACCTGCAAGAGAAGACTTTTTTTAAGCATATATAGCACGATAAAAATAGCATATCTAAGAAGTTTACTACAACTATTTTTTTTTTACATATTTTGTGGGGGGG